AAAAAAAATTTTTTAGTCTGGAAACTTTTGTTCTCAAATCACAGTTGATGCCAATACTTTAACAAACTCATCATCTGAATTGTAAGGACATGAAGAAAATTATATTGTATACTGTTACGTTATGCGAATCACTTTTTAATTTTGACACCATTTTATTGCGAATTGACTTTTATATTTTGACAAATTATAACTGTTTAATATCTTATAGTATAGAATAATTGACAAACATGCGAAAAGTTGTGCTCTAGCACTTAGTTTCATTTAAAATATATTAGGGAATTAAATTATAAATTTTTTTATACTGAAGATGGTCACATTAATGACCGAAACGTTTATTATAATTATGTAAATTTAGTAGTATTAAATATACGAAATTTTCGCTACTTTTAACCAGCGTGTGGTATATGCTCCTTCTTCTTATTTTTATGAATACATATTATTATTGCATATCAAATTAGTATTATAAATAGTATTATAAAAATGCATAAAATCTAAATTAATATATTGAGTCTTTATTAACTTCAGATACATTTTGCTCCTGAAATGTGGGAGAAGGTGCGTGAAGATGGAAAAAAAAAACTAAAAGGACATGCAATCCCTACAATTTTTCCACGAGCTGATGTCCGCAACTTCAGAATGCAAAGTTGTAATCAACTGACAACAAAAAATGCTGTTGACGCTATTCCAGCAAATTTGGAAGAACTGGTTGGTATGTATTTTATGATATTCTACAATATCATGCACTTGAAATAAATGTCTATAATATCTATTTCTGTTTTTTAGAAGTGCCGGCAACCAAGGAAATTATCATCAGCGATAAGATTTCCGTTATTGTAAGTGTAATATTATTTTTGGTAGAGAAATACACAAATATATGTATAGTCAGTCCTTCTCAAATGGAATTATCTGAGATGTAAATCTATATTATTAATAAAATCAGAATGTTTCTGGGCAAGTATAGTAATTTGTAAATAATGTGTATAACAAATTTGATCATAAAGAGCTTTATATATATATATATATACAGGGTGTTTGAAATTAACCGCCAAATATTTCATGTGTGGGTAGAACAGACTATACTAAGTCGAAAAGTCCTGTACCATTTTGCGATTACAGTAATAGTTAATGAGATATTAATTTATAAAGATATTTAAATTCGCCCGGCCCACCGTCAAATGCAAGCGCGCGGCTGGATAGGACCGCCCTGCAAAGCGCGCCGCGCGCGTTCACGTTCGCCGTCGCTAGGCACGCGACTCATGTCTAGCGACGACTATTGCCGCTTGTTATAAACAACGCTTGTTATAAACAACGCCTAGCAACGGCGAACGCGCGCGGCGCGTTTCGCTGGGCGGTCCTATCCAGCCGCGCGTTTGCATTTGACGATGGGCCGGGCGAATTTAAATATTTTTATAAATTAATATCTCGTTAACTATTACTGCAATCACAAAATGGTACAGGACTTTTCGACTCAGTATAATCTGTTCTACCCACATATGAAATATTTGGCGGTGCTGGGACCCCAATGTGCATCACTGCTTCCACCATCTTCGGCCCACCGGACCTCCTCCCCCGTTAATTAATTAAAAATTACAGTATATATTACAATTAATGTAGTAAGATTATTATTATATTAGATATATTATAGGAAAATGAGGAGTGTAGGAATGAAATAAAATTAATAAATAACAATGGAAATGTAAGATACAAGTCATTTTTATTTGTTAATATTATTGACTTCTGTAGAAAGGATGTTTAATTTCGCTACTATGTTCGACATCGCGAAATTTAATCGTCTTACAGACGAATATTTCGAAAAAAGAGTGCTTTGTAAAGTCAATAATATTAACAAATAAAAATGACTTGTATCTTACACTTCCATCTATCATTTCTAGGACTATAGGGTTGTAAAGTCATATATTCTGCAGGTCCTGTTAGTCTCGTAAGGACACTCGAGCGGGACGGACGTGTTTCGCCCAGTCTCGAGATATATTGCGCCTCGACCAATATTTTTGAAAAGCGTTGCCGGCTTGGACTGTGCCTTGGATTTCTGACTTTGAGAGTCCTCTCACTCGTCTGAGCGCGTGGCCGTGCGGTGCGGAGAACGTGTTACGGGCGTCGTAGCCACAGGCGTCCAGTGTTTGGGGGGGGCGCGCCATTTTTATTCGTTATTGCATCACTCATGCATTTTTGCCCGGTTTCGAGGCTGCCGGTGCCTTGTATACTGAATTTTGACATTATTTACATTTTTCGAGGATCTCAGTGGCCCAGTACCAGTCCGTTTAGGCTGCGGGGCCAATAAAAGAAGAAGAAGAAGAATGTAGATCCTGCTCATTGCGACACCATTACCGAATGACAGAGATAGAAAAAAGCCATACTTCGAAAGACACAAGAAGGAGAGAGTAGCGAAACTGGATGGTTGTCGTTGCTGCCGAGTAGGAGTGGGGCGATGCGCGCAAAATATACATATACAGGCCCAGTGCGCAGATTGAGGGGGATCGAGTGACCAATCGAGTCGACTGTTTAGTCTGTACAAGATACGAATCAGCGCCACTGGCCACACGCCTAACTGGCAGTGCGGCGTTCTGTCTGCGTGTCTCTGCGTACAGAAATTAATTTTGTCAGTAAAATTAAACGAACGTTTGACGTTTTTTCAAACTCAGTGTTAAGTGTTAAGCATTCCAAGAAGAGACTTGGTTAGTGCTCCGAAAGTTAATCGAATTGGCGAGGATTTCAGCAAGTGTCCGGTTCGTATCACTGAGCATGGACCAAGAATCCGCCCTAGATTTGTCTCCAGATTCGGGAGGGTCTACGGTCAGAAGAGATCGGGGACCGTCACTGCGTCAGGACTCACCAATTAGTTACCATCAGGCAATTAATAACTTTTCAAGATGCTTAAATGTTACTAGTGATCCTGGACCATCCAGATCACAAGGTGCATTACCACGGAATGAATCAAGACAAGCTGGTCAAGACAAGCGATCAAGAACTCGTACGCTTCAAGAAAAAATAGATGCTATTAATCGTGTGCACAGTGGCAAATCTAAAGCCGCTGTCGCACGCGATATCGGCGTACCCGAATCGACCCTGCGCGGTTGGTGTAAGGCTGAGCAGAAGATTAGAATTCAGTTAAACAACATAAAGGTTTCAGGAACACCACTGGCAGGTTATGGATACATTCTGACGTCGAATTCAGATAACAGTAACAATAGTAGAGCATGTTCTTCATCGCGATCAGCCCCAACCGCTCGAGCTACGATATTAGGATCAGCTACCAGCATTATGGAGAAAGTTGAGAAATTTGAAACCGATCCGCCCCATAAACGACTAAAAATTGACAATACATCAGCTAACATCTCAACATCAGCTCGAGCGATGACATCGAGTGACATCAATCCATTCCTGTATAATATAATGTCGACGGCTTATATAAACAGTACTTTAGCTATGTTAACCACAATATTGAAACCAGAAACATTCCTTTCTTTCTCTGGATACGCGCCTGCTGCAACTCTTTTTACGGATAGTCTGCTGTCCGGGAACAACTGCACAGTGACCAATACGGCAACAACAAACATGAGGCAACAACAACTACAACAACAGCAGCAGCAACAACAACAATATCAATCGCAACAGCAAATCAACGCTACAACAAATACGCTACCTAATGAAAGTAAAAAAAAGTCTAGCGTACAAGGATATTCAACCATCGACATCCAAAGGGCGCAGTGTAATCGATCATCGAACGTGGAAAAGTCGTCTGGAAGCTCGATATCTCAACCGAGCAATCAAATCATGGAGAATCAAATGCCATCAACATCAACGAACAGCAGTAATGCAGTCGTAAGCGTACAATCAAGAAACGGAAAAACTCTAAATAGTATAATAGACAGTCTGCATGGATCACGAAAAATGGGGTTTTAGTTGTTGGGTTTTAATTGGATGTGAGCTGCAGATGGATTGTGCTGCATCCCGAAGAGGTTTTAGTGGGTAGGCGCCTTACCCTACGACAAGGTGAATCCCACACTACCCGGGGATGGTACCCCCGGGTGTCTTTGGAAGATTTCCTCTCCGTCACCAAAAAAAAAAAAAAAAAAAGGTAATTAGAATGATGTATGAAATGTATTACATATTTGAAATATACGTAAAAAATTTCATCTTTACGTAATGTTCAATATTTCTCATTTTCCGCATTTTTCTTCTGCATTTTCTTTCGCTTTTTTATTTGGTCTTTCGTAATAATCTTTTTCGATTGATTTTCCTGTCTTTTTCTGTCTTTGATTGTTTCTTTTTTCTTCCGTCTTTCTTCTATGTTTTGTTGCTTTTAAATAAAGTAATTATGGTACAATACAATAAATTTATAGATTTTTACTATATTTTAATGTAGTTTTATTAATGAATGTGACAGATTTACATAAAAATTCTTCGAAATATAATGTTGTCCCATGATTACCATATTTTCAGAATAAATTTTAAGATATAATTCTTTCCGTGTATGTATAGCTAAAATGTATTATGTTAATATTTAGTATGAGACCAATAAGAGATTAATTTCACTTTTTATCAATTTTCCATAGACCTCTACAAGTAAATTTTCCAATTTCTGTATCACAAAGCACATGATTAACTGATAACTTCATTAACGTTCTCTGCTTTTTATTTTATGAAGTTAATCAGTTCTTCCTTTCGAAGGGATCTTATAGAGAAGGAAATTGATTTAAAAAATATCTATATGTATATCTATATACCTAAACTGTGAATTCGGATTTCACTCACGTACGAAGCCGGCATGTCCAAATGCTTTTCTTGCTTCACGGCAACGTCTTCCTCGATTTCGTCCGTGTCTTTTCGCACGATTCGCGGTTCACCGGGAAGCAAATGCTCCCAGAATTCGATTTTGCTTAAATCCCAGTTAATTTCCGCGCAGCCGTTTCTGCGAGGCTGCATATTCACCCAGTAATTTTGGTCATTCCAAATACTCTCGACTCCTAGATACAACAAATTGGTTTCTTCATCGGCCGGGTTATAAGACATTCCGAAAGAAGGCTCGAGAAAGATCGGTTCAGTAATTTCTTGATTTCTTACACCTTTGTCTTCCGGTAAAATAACCACCCACGAATGTATTCGTTGACCGAAATATTTATCAGGTTGCGGACGCTCGAATTCCTTAGGATCATAAGATTGAGTGAGTGATTACGATGCAAATTAATGTATTAAATTATAATCATAATCATAAAATTCGTAATAAGTTTTACGAAGAGAAGCAAGAATTGTTTTAATTTTAATCTTAATTTATCTTCAGTACAAAAAAATCTTTTAAATTCTTATTATGCATCATTATTGAATAATAAGATATACTTATTATATTCTTGAAGCAACTATTACAAATATAAATCATCAGAATAAAAAAGCTCACGAAAGCCAACAGTGGATGAAAACTGTGTAAAAGAATATATGTTTAATCTTATCATATATATTCTTTTCACACAATTTCCATCAAGTGTTAGCTTTTACGAGCGTTATTGTGACGATTAATTTTATTTGGTGTCTTTGTCTTTATATATTGTTACAAATATCTTAAATAATCAGAGATAAAACAGAACTTTCTTTTACATACAGCAATCGCTCTCTGACGTTCTTCTTCTTGTCGTTGTAATTCTGCCTCTATTTTTGCTTTCTCATGAGCTTCTAACTCTAAGAGAAATTGACTCCTGAAATCAGGCGGTGGCTTTAACTGATACTTGATGATTTTAGGCTTTTCGACCGGTGGTGGTACTTGTTCAATCTTCGGTAAATACGGGCAAGTTCTTCTGGTCATGTCACAGAGTACTTGTTCGCGTGATGCATATCCGCTTACCACGAATGCATTGTAACCTTGTCCCAGCAGTAAGCTTACCAAAAGCGTTGCGCATTCGAAACTGTTACCCTTTTGGAAGTTTAATACCCACGTCGGCGAACACAAGTGTTCGGGCTGAAAGAAGGATCGCGATTATTAAATGATATACAGTAGGAATTCTCACTCAATGTTGTCTTTTGGACAATTTAACTTAAATATTCTAAGTTCTTACAATGATGACCTCTATTAAAAGTTCTAACAATCTTCTTGATTTAACAAAAATTTAGGAATGCAATTGAATTGAGTCATTATGATTTTTTAATGAGGTACTACAATTTGTTATATCATTATCCAATATAATTATGTGCAGGAAATATGGAATTTTGCAATATATATGATAATATTGCGTTATAAAATATATACATTCGTTTATGTGAATATTTAGAGAAATTTAATACTATAAGTTTATATATGAATTGGTTAGTGATTAATTACTTGTTTTAATTACTAAAAGCACTGTCATTGTTTTATTCATAATATTATACCTATTAATGACTAAGTTGAAGTTAATTACTAAAAAATTCATGATTTATTATTTTATATATACGCATAGATGATTTCTTTAAAGAAATACTTGTATTTTTTTAAATAGGTTAGGAATCAATTACTTATAATACTTATAGTATTATACATTTCTCTTAAGAGAAGAATCTGTATAGAATAATAATAAGTTGTGAATTCAACACTAACTAATATTATAGTTGTTCAGATATTTATATCGATGAGCGAAATAATTGATAATGTTTACATATCTCGATTTTTTCTGAATCCACTATTCATTTAATAGAGAGATCCATTTAATAGCGATATAAATTAATCCAGGACTGATCTTGTTGTTTCTTCATTAATAGAGTGCATAAGAACGAATAACATTTTTTTACGGTAAAATCAACAGAAAACTTTGTGTTACTTTGTGTAGCTAAAAAAGAAAAGCAGCAAGAACTTATCAACTCAGTTCATACTTCACACTGCTCACACAAGTATAAGCCGTAAGTTGTCGTCCTCTTATGGCAAGTACTACAATTAAAATACGTAACTCCAATGGTAATTTCAAAAGGATAATAAATTTATAATTCAGAGAACAATATGTCCAAAATATGAACATAAAAAACGAATAAAATGATTAAAACGAGTGAAAAAACATTATAAAATCTTTTACGCATCTATCAATATACGACTTCTAAAGATATGTCTTAATGACGTTTCTGAGATGTCTTACGTTTGCATTTTGAATATACTGTCCATGTGGAAAACTTTACAAAAATGTGACGTTTCGTGCAACGGTATAATAAAAAACTGTAAATTGTGAATTGCATATATCATATTTATCGCGACTGTCGCATGTAGAGAGATCCTTCAATACCGACGAAGGATAACCGTTAGGACGCGTCTGCCACGTGCCTCCTATCAGTCCGGAGAGAAGTAATAATAATAATAATACCAAAGAGTAAATACGTGAACACATTCAGTAATCGTCGACGTAAGCGGTAGGGATGTGGAACGGAGTGAGATAGAATGTATACAAGCAAACGTGGGGAGCACGTGGCATGGCGTGCGTACCGTCCTCGGTCCATGACCTACGCCACTGTATTATAATCTATGAGTAGAATTTATTGCATTAGAGGGGGGGAGGGAGGGAGGGAGGGGAAAGCGAGAGAATAACAGAAACAGACGAGGAGGAAAAATACGTTGCGAACGCTGCGCGTCACAACGCGTGTCCCAGTGATCGCGTTTAAACAGTTTCCTCCCACTCTCTCCACCTCGCGCGCGCTCTCTCTCTCTCTCTCTCTCTCTTTCTCGATATCCTTCCATCGCTCATTCTTCTCTCTATTTCTCTCGACTCCTCAACTTTTTATCTCTGACAAATTAAGCGAAGAACAATCTCACGGGAAAATTCATAGAATGGAAGCGTCGAAACGCTCGGACGTTTCTCCCATCGTCTTTCGTTCTTTCGCGATTCTCGTCGCGTCTTGGAACATTGTAGGGAATGCACTCCTCTTTTTTTTTTCTTTGCAGAAGCGCGTAGTAGGAAAGCTTGGACGACGACGACGACGACGACGACGACGACGACGAGGGTAGAGAGATGGTCAGTGGGTGGCGGTGACGGCAACGACGGTATCCCTCGACCCTTTCGCCCACTTCCGCCCCCTCTGACCACCCGACCCAACCCATACCGAAGCAACCGACCTACCTCCCTTCCGCCTCCTCCCCTTCGCGCCTCCCTCATCGCCGTCGTTGCCCTCGGCCGTCTCTCTCTCCCCCTCCCCCGGCTCCTCTCCCCGTCACCCGAGCCGAGCCGAGCCAAGCCGCGCCGCGCCGCGCCGCGCCGCCACGGCCCCGCGCGTCACCCTCATTCCGCGCGACCCCTTCGACCGGCATCCACGTGGGACGCAAGACGAGGGTGTGAGGTAGCAGACAACGCGGAGATACCGCGGCAGCTGGCACAGTGTTTCTCAACCACGAACTTTACGCGAGAAAGCCGCGGCGTATTAATTCGTTCGCGCCGTATGAGCGGTAATTTACAACTCTCGGACTAAGCTGGATGCACGCTCTCGCGCTCGCGCATACGTACGGACGTATTACGAAATATACCGAGCGCGCAGCGAGATGATAAATAGACCACGCGGGGATTTAACAGCCACTTGGGTGAAAATTACGAGCGCGCCGGTATTTTGAGATTTTCTGCTTTTCTTCTTGCTCGCTTCTCCCGCGCGTCATGCACAGTTAACCGTCGTTCCTCTCTCTCTCTCTCTCTCTCGACGTCCATCGTCGCGCGCGCACGTCGAAATTTCCCTTTCAACCGTAAAACGACCGTCTTAACGGTACAAAAATAGAAAAAAAAATCATATTGCGACGATTTTGCAAAGTTATAATTTATTACTTTTTCCAAAACGCCGACCGTCTCCTCGTCGATTCGTTGACCCATTTCATCGTGTTCGTGATTTTTAACTCGATCCGAGTGACGCGAAACCGTGCGCGGCAAAATGGCGCGCAGTAACGAAGGCGCGAGGTTGTTAAGCGCGACGAA